AAAATGTTATCATTTGTTGTATATTTTTATGTACATTATTGAAAATTATACTTTCACCAACTTATGAAGTTGGTTCAAGTCATCTAAATTTTACAAGTAAAATGAAGTGCCTTATCAACATTACAGACAAGAAACAAAACTTACAAATTCCTGTGCCAATTGTTCTTTAAAGAGGTTTCCAGACTTGGTGAGACTACCTTGGGTCAAACCTTCAGGAATAAGAGTCCTCTGGTCATTATTTTCACTTCTACTATGTTAGGGTAACCATACAGCTTATCATTTAATCTAGGAGACTTTGGGCAATAAAAAAGGTCACTATTAAAAGTTACCCCAAGACAAAATGCATAGTCCTACACTATTGGATGTATTTTCCCTGGATCTTTGTCAGTTAGAAGATGGATATGACACCTCATGAGGCTGAACTGCCAATAAGAAGTCATTCTGGATGAGACATCAAGAAGGACCGCACACCACCAAATCTGCAGTCTGAAGCCCATCAATGTGCTACCAAAAAGAAACCAAAAGTAACAAAAAGGAGATGCATACAATTGGTGACTACTGCTTGTAAGGTTTAAACTTCCTTACCTCCATGACATCCTCTAAATTCTCTTCTGCATCTGCTTTCTCTGTCATCAGTTTGGCTGCCTTAAAGTAAGTTTTCATAAGTAGATAACCCCTTTTTGCTCCATTCCAGTATGACCGAGGAATTTCCACCAAGCCATACCCCAACAACAACACAAGAAGAAACAGACCCCATGTATTTGCAGCAGCTATCCCAATTGTCTGAAGTTGATTCCTAAGACAGAAAAACATATGCAGATAGCTGTGATAAACATATTTTCCTACAAAAATGTGAAACGAAACTAACTAGTATCAAATGTTTTTTCAGAAAACAATTACCCTAAAGGATGGATAAGATTTTATATGAAAAAATTAGACCTTCAAATTCTCAGCTACTCTTTTAGTAACAGCAGATAATCTGCATATTTTAATGGAAAAATAAAATGTAATTGCAGAAATGGACTTTAACACAGCAAACACTGCTTCAGAATCTAGAATGATTCATGGCAAAAATATGTATATATTGTCCCAAAGAAAATATTTTCCATTAGGTGCTTTCTTATTCAATATTAACCAAAAGAAACCCGGAAAATTTTTAAATTAACTTGTGTTCAAGTTGATATACACAAGTCTCAGGAATGCAACAGTGAGGCCTATCACTGCTACTCTATTTCTAAATTTTCAGACCTACCTCTTCACATATATAACAAAACAAATCATAAGTATAAAATAGATTTCAATTTTATTGAAATATCTAAGACAACATTAAGAACAAATATGCCCCAAACTACAGCAAGAACAAAAAGAAAAAAATATTCACAAGTTCTAATGAAAAATAAAAACAGATATTTTATCATATATACAATTTGAAATTCTACCCAAAAATCATTAGAGTTATTGCCTTTAATATATAGCTATTAGACAAAGCATAAATCCTTTGCCTAAAAGCTATATTTAAAGATGTTATTCCCTATTTTCTTTCTTAGTAATATGAATTATTCAGATATTCTTTTTGGGGAATCTATAAAACATAGAACAATATGTTTCTCAATCAAATGTCTGTTTACTTGCATATATGAGATAAAAATGAATTTTTAAAAGTACAAACATACACAAAAGCAATGCTAAGAATACTATTTTTCTTACCATTCTAAATGCAAATGTGGGTTTACAGCTACATAAATTAAAAATGCTCCAAATATCAGCAAATAGGTGCCATAATAGATTGCATTCTCAATCAGTGCAGTTTTGATCTTTCCAGTGATAGAAAACCCTCCTGATCTTGCATATGACTGCATAAACGGTAAGAGAATCCTAGACAGATGGAAAAAATGATTTAAAAAATTTTAAAAATTGATGTCTATATAATCTCAAAAGACCAGAATTTTAATGTATAGTTCTTCTCATTAATAAATATAATTATTAATACTGAATAAATTACAATAGATGATTATTTTTGTAATATTAACTTTTAGGAAAAGCAAAGGCTATGAGGCAAGGGAGAGCAAGGCACAATACCGGGAGTAAAGCAGGCCAGAATGCCTAGTAGAGAATGCAACAGTGTGATAACTAAAGAGCAGTCTAAATTAGGCCTTTAAAGCCTTTATGAAGAATTTGGACTGAAGGAATAATGAGGAAATATCTTCTTTAACATAAAGGAGACATGACCAAATTTTAGTTTTCTAAGACTTCAGCATGGAGACTGGACTGACAGGGAACAAAACTGGAACTAGCTGAGAAGGTTAAGGGTGATGGTGGTGGTAATAAGAAGCAGGAAGGGAGAAATTGGTTGTCAACATACTGACTTTGAAATAGTACCTAGGAGGTGTCCAAGATGAGTTGCACAGGACGTAGCTGGCTATCCAGCTTCAGAGTTCAGAAAAGAGGACTAGAAATACAAACAGATTCCAGAGTCATTACCATATCAATGGTACTGATACGGCATCGGTAGATGAGACCTGAAAGGATGAGTATATAGAATGTGAAGGAAAGAACTGAGACAGACCCCTGAGAATTATCGACTTTTAAGGGAGACGTAGTGAAATAGAAAGAGGAAGAACCAGGAAAGATGACTGAAACAGAACAGAAGTGGAGCAAGGAAGAAAACCAAGGAGTATATGGAGTGGAAATTGGGAGAAGAAAGTGTTTGAAAGTGGAGAAAGTAAACAATAGAATCAAATGCTGTCAAGAGGAGAAGTAAATTCAGGACTTGTATGTGTGAGTGGTGGAGGGGGAGTAGAAGACAGAAAACTATGGGTTGAAGGACAAGCAAACAATGAGCAAATGGAGGTAACAAACAGAGAGAATTTAAGAAGTTTGGCTGGGTAGGATAAACTAGGGTATCAACATAAAATGGAGTATTTTACAGTAATGAAAAGAACAGAAAATGGATACATACAACACAGCATAGATGAATGTCCCAAATATGCAAGCAAAGAGAGATGCAAAAAAGTTCATACTGTGTAACTCCACATTTATGCAGTTGACAAGTAGGCGAAACTAATCTATGATGATGGAAGTCAGAATCACGGTTACCTTTGTGGGGGGACGACTGGAGGTGGAAGCAAGAGGGAGGCTTCTGGGGGCATTGTTAATGTTCTATATCATCATTTGAGAGTGCTGGTGTATGGGTGTATTCACTTTAAAAAAAAGTTAAACTAAACATAATCTGTGAACTTTTCAGTACAAATTTATACTTCAGTTGAAAAAAAAAGTCTCCCAAAAATATTTCGTTGTGATGAGGTCAACAAGGTAGAGACTGGAAAGGGATTTAAGTTGAGAGACTTTTTGTTCCTTTTTTTTTTTTGAGACAGAGTCTTGGTTTATCACCCCGGCTAGAGTACAGTGATGTCATCACAGCTCACAGCAACCTCAAACTCCTGGGCTCAAGCGATCCTCCTGCCTCAGCCTCCCAAGAAGCTCAGACTACAGGCGCACACCATCATGCCCAGCTAATTTTTCTATTTTTTGTAGAGATAGGGTCTCTGTGTTGCCCAACCTGGTCTTCAACTCCTGGCCTCAAGAGATCCTTCCACCTCAGCCTCTCAAAGTGCTGGGATTACAGGCGTGAGCCACCGCGCCCAGCCCCTTTTTTTCTTTTTAAAGGATGAGAGAACTGTGCATGCTTTGTTGAAACTGGAAGCTATATGTCTATAACAAAAGCTGAAGGAGAGGAATCTATATTTCAGCAAGAAGGATTAGCTTTAACAAGAGTGATTCTTCCATCCTTGAAGGGTAAGGAAGAAAAGATGGGCAGGTAGGTAGGTCTGTTGGTGAGAACCTGAAAGAACTGCTATCTGATGACTTCTGTTTTCACTGTACGGTAGAAATAAAGTCAAGTCATCTGCTAAGAGTAAAGGTGATTTTTTTTTTCTTTTAGGGAATAGGGGAGAGAGAGAGCCACAAAGGGGACAGCAGTTTGAAGTCACTAGAAATGTTTGTTGTAGAGAATGGAGAGCAAGCAAACTAAAGAAACAAAGAAGGAAACTCTGGCAACGCTGAAGGCCAAGTTGAATTTAAGAAGCATGATTTTAGAGAGGCACTACCCTACTCTGCTGTGTGATTTTTCTCCTGCAATGATCACTACCTCCAGTTTTAGAGCTTAGTTGTTTGTAGAATACCTGTGAGATGCTCAGTGGGCAGTGGGGTACTGTGAGTCTGGCACGCAGCAGAAAGATAAAGCTGTGGGGGAAAAGATTCGGAATGCATTACTGGTCAATGAGATCATGGCTATAATTACAGCTACACAGGAAGAGTAAGACAACAAGATGACCAAAGATGGGACTCTAGGGAAGACCAATATTTAGGAAATAGGCCACAGAAATGGAGCCCATAAAGGAAATTCAGAAGGTTGGGCTAAGCAGATAGAAAGAAAACCAAGGGATAATGATGACCTTAGCAAGAGCAATTTCATATAATAATGGGTCTGGAAGAAGACTGGATTGAAGGTCAAGAGAGAGGCAACAATTGGAGGGAAACAGTGACAAGAAAAACTTTATTTCTATTTTCTATTTTTTGTTTGCCTGGTTTTTCTTTTCTTTTTTCTCTTTTAAGATAGGAAATACTTGAGCCAGAAGAAAGGGAGAAGATACAGATTTTTTTAAAAAAGCGACATAAATTCCAAAATATGAACATTCACTGAAAAGTAACCACATTTTATTTTTACTTTAGCCAAAACTTTAAAAGTTTTATCCTTCACTGCCACTTACCATGTTAAAAACTGTGATGTCCAATATACCACCCTCCAGAAAATTGGCATGATTCCATCAGGAATGTAACTCCATGGCTTGAAACATGGATGTTGGCTGTTGAATGAAAATTTGAAGCCAATTAATCATAAATAATGACTACTTCAATTATACAATTGATGTACATGTGACAAAGTTAATTTTCAGACTCAAATTTTAAATTATTGATTCTAACTCAAAAGTTCATGAAAAACTTAAAATGCAAAGCTATCAAACTAAAAAGAAAAACTGCACACACAAAGAGAACAAAACAGTTTGTTCTAGAGAGGAATGCCATTTAAGTTTTCAATATTTAGTGTATTTTTGGTCATTGAGCAAAAAGAGGACTTAATGTTCAACTAATAGACTAAAAACGCAACAGTCTTTAAAAAGCAAATGTATCATGAAATCAAATCTCTAATGATTACCTTTAAAATACACACTCACCCCATTTATAGAGCTGGTTATTTTATTTATTTACTTATTTTTGCAGGGAGTGGTGCAGGTAAGACATGAGGCAATTAATCCCTGAAAACTGGAATGCTAATTAAATCAGTCACGGCTGGGCGCAGTGGCTCACGCCTATAATCCTAGCACTCTGGGAGGCGAGGCGGGTGGATCGCTCAAGGTCAGGAGTTCGAGACCAGCCTGACCAAGAGCGAGACCCCCGTCTCTACTAAAAAATAGAAAGAAATGATCTGGACAAATATTATATATAGAAAAAATTAGCCGGGCATGGCGGTGCATGCCTGTAGTCCCAGCTACTCGGGAGGCTGAGGCAGTAGGATCTCCTGAGCCCAGGAGTTTGAGGTTGCTGTGAGCTAGGCTGACGCCACGGCACTCACTCTAGCCCGGCAATGCAGTGAGACTCTGTCTCAAAAAAAAAAAAAAAAAAAAAAAATCAGTCACTATGTATCATAACTCCTATGGAGATAGATGCCAGCATCTATAATTGTTTGAATTATATAACCTTTTGACAGTTTTAAGTTTATTCATTCTTGATCTATAACTATAATGCTTTCAGAGGATGTACAATATGGAAAGAATACCATAAATACAGAATAACGTCTTTGTACTTTATTACAACCTTGTAAAATAGCCAAAAGAGAAAATGCATGCCCCATTTTTTAGATATGAGATGGGCTGAGAGGAAAAGTATATCTTGGAAGTCACATACTTAGTAAAGAAGAACCAGGACTAAAAATTCAGGTCTTCTTCAAGTTTCTCACTACCGTCTGCTGAAAGGCCTGTGCACCAATAAATATTTAAAATGTAGCCTTAAATAAAACACAATGTAATAAAGTCTACTAGTGAAAAATAGAGGTGGGGGGATCAGTAGAGAATGAGCATAACTCTTACAAATATAAAATCTGAATGATAAAAACTGACTATTTTAAAATAGTTCTCCCTTTACAATATTTATATTTAAAAAAAAAAGAAAGGAAATACCTTGGCATGGGGTTAGCAGTTGCATACAATCCTGTAACGTTGCTACTTTCAGGAGGGCTTGAATTTGCAGCAGCATGCTTGCACCGGTTGTATATTGTCTAAAGCAATGAAGGTTTAAAAATGAGAATCAAAAGGTTACCAAGTAACTGGAGTTTATAAATCTCTCTACCCAAACTTACCTTTCTGGCTATCCTTTTTAATGATTAAATTTCTAAGATAACATCTAAATTCAAAATATAAGTATAACCATATATAATTTAGCTGTCTTAAGAAATAACATTATTTCAAATATGCTGTATGACTACAATTGTCTTTTAAATTGTGAAAATGAGTTTCACCCCTTACCGTACTAACATCCAGAGGCAGTATGAAGACAATAAGAAAGCAGAGATACCAAGCAAGCAGCGTTCCAACAATTACCAGTCTATGCTGTTTCTTAAAGTCTCCATATCGATGAAGAAGAAATAATGCCAGAAAAAAGACAAAAACAATCTCAAGTCCCAAAGCTGCACCGCTCATTATTGAATGTTCACTCTAACCAAGGTTATTCATGTACAGGTCGGGACCATATCTGTAAACTGAAAATAATACAAAATCAAAATGCAACATTAACATTGGAAATGACCATTTGGAAATTTCCTAAATATTTATTAATGTAATAAACTCTTTGAAAACTGTTATGCTTCACATTGGACTATGAATTTCTTTTTTTACCGCACTCCAGGATTATTAATTAGATGAAAAGGGTAATTCCTATCCTCAAGTACTCACATTTTATTTTTTAAAGCACACCTTAAAATTTTCACATATATTATATTTTCCCAAAAAAGTTATTTTAACAAAAATAACACTAGTTCTTAAGATATTACAAATTAAGAAATTCTTAACACTAGATGTGAACAGTTTCAATACAGTGTCATTTGGAGTTTGTTTCTTAATGCTATAAATTCTAACAGAACATTTTCTACAAATAAGCTATTGACTAGATCCTAGGAAATTACATACTTAGTAAAATAAATTTTTCTAAGATCATCCATACCCCATAATTTGATTTTCTAAAAGAGAGGGAGTAATAGACAGAAAGACAGAGGCCATTTGAAAGTAACCTTTCCTTTGTTTAAAACAGTATTTTTCATTTGTGTTAATTTTGCCTAACAACTCAACTTTCCTGACATGAAATTCTCATTCATTTACTGCTTCACAAAATACACTTACACTTCTCATTATCTACATAAGTCTTATTTTCTTTAAAGAAAGTTACTTTACCTATTTTATACACAGAAAATTTATCACTGATCATTAAATAAAGTCATACATTTGAAAATATTCTTAATTATAAAAGCTGATAATACAGATATCAGCAAATGGCTTGATATCCCTGTACTCCTAAATAAAAAAAATTACCTTTATGGACTACACTATTCCAAGGAATTGATTAATATCTTAACATAGAGAATCGAGACTGTGATGTAACCTAATAACATATAATAAGGCAGAATAAAATATTTCAAATCAACAAATATCCCCAACCAAAACTACTTATAAAAAGAACACAGAAAGTCTGAGACTTTAACAGGGTAAATGTAAATTCGTATAGGAAATATTCCTATATGAAATATCATAAACAAAACGCACATTTAATAAACTATTTTCTTCACCATTTCTTTATATTATTGTAGCTTCTTTCCATTCCTCTGTGCATTTCAACCTAAAATTAAACACTTTCATCACTCTGTCCCCTTATCTTCCTAGTTTTCTTCACCATACTTATCCATATGATATAATGCACATTCTTTATATTTATTAATTGCCCCCGACATGTCCCCCCTTCCTCTATAGACTCTATGAGAGTAGAGACTTGACTACTTTATTCAGTACTATATTCCAAGTCTCCAATTAGTATCTAGTATATAGTAATAATAAGAAATATTTGTTGGATGAATAAAAAAATGAATAAAAACATTACTGCATACTTCAGTATATACAGTATTTTTATATTAAGCCTTTACAACTCAAAAGGCTTAAAACTCTGCATATTACCAACTATTACTCAAACTTTCAAATTTTATATTCTATGAAAAAACTAATACCACTACAACAAGAGTAAGGTGAATCTTATTTTAAAGCCAAGCACAGATTAAGAAGTTAGCTGAAAGCTATGTAATAGAATGTGCTGATGACAACTATTACCACCTTTAGGATCCAGCTTTAAAAGTCATTCAATGTGGGTTTAAATATATTATCTGAAAATCCCTTCATGATTTGACCTAGATACTGACTTACCTGAAATTGTCCAGTGCAAGGAATATAACAATCATAGGAAAAAAAGATTAAATACTAGAGATTACCAAAGAAATGCTAAATAAAGTATGGCAGAGCCAGATGATGGAATATTACTATAGTACAAAAAGTGATGTTTGTTAAGATTGTTTAATAACATTAGAAAATTACCCAAAATTAATTGAAATATATATATTCTTATATAATATGCAAAAAAGAATAAGATAACAATGAAATATATGAAAACTTTAATAATAAGTGGTAAGATTATGGGCATAAGCAAACAAAAAAATCAGTTAGAAACTTGCCATACCCATTACTTATTTTTCCTACAGCTCTCAATTTCTCATTCATAGTACTTTAAAAAGTTATAGATGAATAAACAGATTTATGGATCCTTTATTCTAGTAATAAATGATTTGGTTACATCTTTTCCCATACTCAGTGTATTAGTTTCCTCTTGCTGCTGTAACATTACCACAAACTTAGTGACTTAAAACAAAACCCATTTATTATCTCATAGTTTCTGTGGGTCAGAAGTCCAAGCAGTGTGGCTCAACTGTATTCTCCGCTTAGAATCTCATGAGATTAAAATCAAGGTGTCAGCTGGTTTGCATTTCTGTCTGGAGAAGAATCATTTCCAAGCTCATTCAGGCTGTTTGCAAAACTCAGCTATCTATGGTTATGGCACTGAGATCCCTGATTCCTTGCAAGCCTGGCATTTGCTCTTAGCTCTAGAGGCCTCTCTCCAGTCTTTGTATGTGACCCTATATATCTTTATTGTTTTAATTGTATACATTTAAGGTGTACAATATGCTGTTTTTATATACTGTACATATGCATGGTGAAATGATTACTATACTCAAGCAAATTAACATACCCATCTCCGCACATACTTTGTGTGTCCGTGTGTGTGTGTGTGTGTGTGTGTGTGTGTGTGTGTGTCTGTGTATATAGTACTCTCTGTTTTTCAGGGCTCCTCTGATTACACTGGGCCCACCTAGATAATCTGATCATTTTACTGGTTCTAGAGATTAGGGCATAGTCACCTTCAGAGGTCTATTACTCTGTTTACCACATCATCTACTTCTGTTCAGGATGAACTCTGTTGCCTTGTTATGACCAAGGTTAGGACTAGTAGTCTCATGAAATTGGAGATAAAAATTGGGGATTTTCTAAGCTAAGATGAGAAAATAACCGTTTTAAAGCCCATATCTTTAACCTTGTACCTAAAGTCAAATAAGGAGTTGCAAGGTTTAGGGGAGAAAGAGGGAGAAGGAGAGGGAAGGGCAAGATTATGATGGAGGCAAATCAAAATTCAGTTCCATATGATTAGCAATGAAAAGGAAACTTTAGGTTGACATTAGCACCACAGCAGCAAAAGTTGGTTTTACTCCAAATCAAAATGCCGATTCATTCATTCTATCAAATTTTAGTGTCTGATGTGCAGGCATATTGTATCCCGCAAAATACTGGCTCTGAAAGTCTTAAACATTTAAAAATTCAATCTTTCTCCAATCATCAAGATATTATTCAATATTACTTTCAAATGCTTTTATAATGGTTTCCTAATTAACATGTTAATGTTACTGAATTGGAGTAGTGTTTTCTGAGTACTTTATGGCTGATAATATTTCTTTTAGGCTAACCACACTTTGAGTGGAAACTTTGGAGATTAAGATAATTTTGGAATTTGAAGAATCCTAAATATTGAGGGGGGTAGAGGAAGAATTGGTAGCAATTGATTAGAACACAAACAAAACACTGACAAAAATTTTGCCAAAACCAAAGATTCTGAAACAGAATGAAAAATTTCTGAATAGAACCTAATGATTCATCAGACTGAGATACTGTTAACCTAAACATGTATTTTTACTCAGATATATGAAATAATAAAAACTAGGAAGCAACTCAAGATCCTAATAATGGAAACTCAAAAGAACCAGCACTAGAAGTGAATGATGAAGTTATCAGGTTTCTACCACCAATCAAAATGTAAATCTTCCAAACATAATCATTATTCTCATTTTAAAGATTTTGGGAATAGAGAGAGTCCAGTTCAGGATATAGAATACCACAAGAGACTATTACTCCAACTCTAAAAATGAAAAAATGTCATACTATTTTTTGAAGCCATCTAAGAGCTGAGTTGGCAAACCAACCTGGTAACCTGAATTCCCAAGTGTGACAAGCCCCTCTGAGGACAGTGGGAAACACAAACTGTTATGCCTCTGGCAAGGAATGAAGGGAAGAGGTAGCAACCATGTAAGCAGGTAAGTAAAAAACAACTGAAGTTTCAATGAATTCTTAAAGATTTCAGGTATAGCTATTGCCAAGACATTTTGATAGATGATAATCCTTAGAATCCTTCCTAATAACAAAATAATTTTAAAAAAAGGAATAGCTAACATTTATTTAGTATGCATTTACTAAATTCCATGCTAGTACCTACCATGCTTTATCAAATTAGACCTTGCAACTCAGTAAGAAAGGACTTTTAATATCCTTGCTTAGCAGAGAAAACAGCACAGAGAGTGTAACTAATTTGTCCAAGTTCCCTGAGCTAGTGAGTGGAAAAGCTGGGATTCAAATCAAGGCACCCTGACTACAGAGCCTGGATCACAATTACATGTCTCTTCTCCAATCCAGACATATTTTCTTAATGAAATTTAAATTGTTTAAAAAATTTATTTTGTTCAGTCTTCACAGGGGACAAATTAGAAACATTCTATTATTCATTTAGCTATATCAAGATAGAACACTAAGAAAGTCAAGTCATGTTTAATATAGAATTTAACTAAACCTTTTTACCTAACAGATAATACTGCCATTATTTCATTTCAGGGTAATATATGACTCTAATCTACATAGGAAAAGTAGAAAACTTGGTGCAAATTAGTTCTTGCCCCAATCTATCTATCACAGAGCATTAAATTGCAGAGAATCAAAGATCTACTTTAAAATTAATCGAAGGAAAAGGATCCCCTTGAAATTTGATTGGCAGATAGAAACTTCTTGCTATGTAATTGTTCTCAGCCTTTTGTTCCCCTAAGCTAAATAATATAAGAAAAAAAACTAAAGGAATTTTAGGATTTACTCCATGTTATGATGGAACTAAGGAAAAAGCACATCACCTTTCTATTTAAGTAGTATCTCTTTGCCATATTTGATTTCCAAAAATGGCACTAACATACTACTGAATATATATATATGCCTTGTAGTCAATTATGACGGTCAGTCCTTTTTGGCCCTTCCTATACCCTAATACTGATTATCTTGTAGTTATGCTGTGGTTTTTATTCTGCATAAATGATATGCACCCACACATCTTGTCTCACCCACGCATCTCATGTTGTATGGTGAACACTTTCCCAATTTACAAAGTCACTTTGAATTCTATCTGAAGCTTCCAAAGAGTACTAGGAATTACTTGCCCTAATGTCATTTGCAGTTATTTAAAAAAATGCATTAATAGTTGCTCTGTCCTGGATACTGATCTAATAAGTCTAGTTCTGGAAATAAGGTATATCTCTTATTAAAATGGAACATGGGGTACACTGAGTAAAATTAAGTAAGATAAATCAGAAAAATGGAATATATCAGTAGCAACCACAACATAGTTCTTTAAGCGACTAGACAGCAATTTCCACATAGCCAGTAATCTTAAATCTTCAATGGACACAATTCCTTATACTAAAAACAATTGTATGTACTAATTTAAACTTTTATTTACTATATTAAGAGAATAGCCATGATTAGAAGGAATGTGAAAGAAAAGAAAGAGAAGGAAGAAAGGACGGAAGGGAAGGGAAGGGAAGGGAAAGGAAAGGAGGAAGGAAATAAAGGAAAGAGAGAAAGAAATTATTCCCATATTAGCAAACTGAAGTATTTCTGTTACCAGGGCAAACTGTTAATGAAATCTAACGCAGTATTAAAAGACTGATTTTCAAAGTTGACAGGCTCTCCCTGAAGTCCAAGAAAGGACCTTGTGTCCATTAATTCAGATATTACAAGTATTCTAGTTCTCAGAGGACTCCTAGCTAAACCCTACACAGAACATAAATACTTCTCATCTTTAATTTAGAATCATCCTACCTATTATAACTTCCTATCTATGAGATCTATATCTGAAGTGGCCGCTCAGAATTTTGTATCTCAAAACTGTTTATTCTCATCATGGCATCATAAATTTATTTTATTTATTCTTTCTCCTCCATTAGTGTACAGCTCCCTCTGTCTTGTTCACTTTCCTGAAGGAGACTATAGAAAGGAGACAGATTCAAACAAAGGCAACTGCTTTCTTCTTAGCCAAAGTAACATCAGAGTAACTGTGAAAATCAGGATATTGCATTTGAAAATATTTTTCCATTTAACATTAGTTTACTGACATGTGAACACTCTGCCTAGTATTTTTCGCCTAGTTTCAATCAAAATCAATTTGTGAACAGATCCCTTCTTTACACCAATCTCACCTACTTTCAAAAACAAACTAAAGGTTCATGAATTCCTTCCTATCAAGAAGCAGTTACTTTTCAAGATACGGACCAAGCTTGAAATAAATACATACCTGGGCAAGAGAGGTTTAATTTCACTATAGAAGGAATCATTTTTTCAGAGAAATAGAGGGTAAGTCATACAGCATTACTGAATATTGCACTACGTGATAGCCTGCTTACTTCTGAACTTTACAAATCCTCTTCATTTTTATAAGGGTTGGAATTCACCCACTTTCCCCCTTCCACTGTTTTCCTGGGGCCACAGTTGTAGTATAGTTTGCACAATGGATTTCGCATGGTCATCCTACCCGGAACACGGCACGGTCCCTACTTTAAAAACCCCCAAACTCTTCTCGATTTTAGGCGGCGACGCAAACAGATGTAGCGGGTTGAACCAGAACAAGCAACCAATGGCTTTGCTAGTGGCCCCCTGCGTTACACCGGTAAAGCCCTTTGCAAAACACAGTCCCTTTATTTCCATTTATGAGGCTTGTCAAGGCTGCAAGGGGATGCGCAACCTTCCCACCGCACAAAGGACCACCTGGGGTCACCGGCTCCCCTAACATTAAACCACAGCCTCTCGTTCGAACTGCACTTTAGTTTACAAACCACTTTCACACGTCTAATCTGATTTGATCCTCGCTCCAAGCCTGTGATATGTGCATCGTTGTCGTGCCTATTTTACATATGAGGGAAGGATCCTGTCCACAGACCCAGTCCTAAGGGCCGCCCTCTCCCCTCCCCGGTGGAGGAAGAAGCTTCCTGTCAAAGAGAAGAGCAGGTATGACGCCCGCGGCTCGCAGCCTCTCACTTGGCGAGACAGGCCACTGCCTCTACTCAGCAACCTAGGACGTAGGCCCCGCGGCAGCACCCGCTCGGGATCTCCCGGGTCCCCTCCATGTCCGCCTAGGCTCGGCTCTGGACCCCAGACCCCAAAACGCGTCCCGTGTTCCCCTTGAGGCTCACCGTCCGATCTCGCCAGACAGCGTCTGGAAGGGACCGGGAAAGTCGGTGTCCGCCACAGCCGTCCTGGGTCTGGGACCCACGCTCGGAGGCGACAGCCGTGGCGGTCACCAGAAGGCCTGCGGGCTCCCGGGAAAGGAAAACCCGTCCACAGTCAAGCGGCTGACATGTCCCAGTCAGCCTCAGCACCGCCCGCTTCCGCCTCGCCGCCTCCGGGAGGGCCAACCAACCCCGCACCCGCGGGAGGTTGTGGGTATCTCGAAGGCGGGCAAAGCTGCGAGGGAAGGAAGTAGTGACGAGCTAGTCAGACTACGAGACAGGGCAGGAACTACAATTCCCAGCAGGCTGAGGGGCCGCGGATGGCGGCCGCGAAGGAGAGCGGGCAGAGCAGCCCTGCGCGCGCGGCGGGGATGGAACGTTACTAGAGTTCGCGGGTCTAGCTATTAGGGACTGGAGCTGCACGCCTGGAGCCTCCGCGCGCCAAAGCGGGAATCCGGTAGGCGGGCAGCTCTGCAATTAATGCACGTATTTAAAACTCCCGAACCTGTGGACGCCATGCACAGGTAAACCGTGCAAAAAGAGGCAGTGCAGGAATAGGACTGTCTTAATTCTTTTAGGCCGCGAATATTGCTACTTGCTAATATTGTTACTAATACTGTTATGTGGATGGTTGCTTAGCCCCTTCTTGGGGAAAGTGTGGATGGATGAATGCTTTAGTGCGGGGGTCTGCGTGCGGTTTTATTTGGCTTCTCTAATTGGGCTTTCCTGTTACCGTTTTCAATCACTGTGTGATTGCCCTCCCTCTTTTCTTGTCTGTTCCCTCCACTGGAAGAAATTCTTGAGGCCTTCTGCATGATCGTAAATCAAAAAGCCTTTTTTGATATGTTCTGTCATTTCCTTTTTAATTCTTGGGAACTCACCGAGGGCATGTAAAAAATGCAATTCCATTAGCTGTCGTGAAAGTTTTCTACAATACATAAATTGCAACTCTTTTATGCCTGCCTCGGAATTATTTATGGGTGTATTTTAGAAAGGAACTGGGGTATTGTGCGCTTCTGCAGGAAGCACCTCCAGGAGATTCCGGACCAGAGTAGCAACGTTACCACCAGCTTCACGTGGGGATGGGATTCCAGCAAGACTTCTGAACTGCTCTCAGGCATGGGGGTCTCTGCCCTTGAGAAGGAGGAGGTGGACAGTGAGAACATACCCCAGGAACTGCTCTCAAACCTGGGCCACCCGCAGAGCCCCCCAAGGAAACGGCTGAAGAGCAAAGGGAATGACAAAGACTTTGTGATCGTCCGCAGGCCTAAACTAAATAGAGAGAACTTTCCGGGTAAAGTATGAGGGTAAAACTCAGTTATGTAAGGGGTGGATTGACCTATTGTTGGTAAACCTTTGTTCAGGGATCTTTGTGACCGATCCCTTTTTAAATTGCCTAATTCTGAAGTTCTTTTCCAATGAAATGGAGCAAGTTGTCATTGAAGTGTACAAGAATCTTGGTAAGTATATATCTTCTGGTGCACAATCAACTTGAAAATTTTAACCCATGAGAAGACATCCCTGCCTTTTTCCTTAGAAGGGAATCTGCCTGCTCAGAAGCCAGCTCAGTGTCACTGATAACGAAAACATAAACAATGTTCTTCTTGTTGGATTCCTTTGCTTATAATCTGCTGCTTTTTACCCCTTAAGCTTTTTGCCTTAATCACTTTAGTTATTTATCAGTGGACTGCTAAATGAATGTTCAACTAAGTAGAGAAGACTTATCTCCTCGGGTCCACTCCCAAATGGGCTCCTCCTGGTATGTTCTGTCTCCATTATTGCCAGCACTATCTCTTCAGTCATTCAATCCGAAAACCTGAGTCAGTCAGATTCCCACCGTCCCCCAACATCCAGTCAATTATCACGCTCTTGTCTAGTAACTATTTCTCAAGCTCTCATCATCTCTTTGCTGAACTATTGGAATGAACTCATAATTTCAGCCTTCTCCCCAGATCCATCTCCCAGAACTGAAGTGGATTAACTGAAATGTAGAACTCCCCATATCATTCTCCTTTTAATAGCTCCCCAGCCCCTGGTTTCTCAAGCAGGTAAATGAGTACCTCCCAGAATGGATCAGAACCCTCAGTACTCAGAGCCATAGGGTAAACATAGGACATTGACCTGGGATTATCAGTTTTTCTAGGTAGTAAGTCATTTAAAACAATAATTCAAATGTTTGCTGAGCACATGCTATGTGCTAAGCATTGTTCCAGGTGCTGGGGATATAATAGTGAACAAAACATAAACATTCCTACCCTCATGGGGCATCCATCCTAATGAGGGAATGCAATAAACATAATAAATATTTTACATAGTATGTTAGATGATAAATGCTATGGCTCAGAACAAAAATAAAGCAAGCCAAGAAGGAGTGCAAGTCCTAGGGTGGGAAGATAGATTACACTTTTAAACCGGGTATTTAGGGAAAGCCTTAATTGGACAGTGGCCTTTAAGCAAAGACATAATAAAGAAGGTGAGGAAGAATGCCATGCAAATATCTTGGAGAAAGGAGCCCCAAGCAAAAGAAATAGCTAGTGCAAAAGCCCTAGGGCAGAAGCATGACATGTTTGTTTGAGGAACGGGGAAGCCATGTGCCAAGAATGGAATGAGCAAAGGGGAGAATAGAGGGAGAACAGGTTACAGGTAGTATTGAGCAGAATTGTGATTTGACCTGATTTAACCCTTTAAAAGGACACACTAATATGTTGAGACTAAACTGTAGGGGCTCATTGGAGGGGTGATAAACAGTGGTCAAATTCTGAATATATTCTAACATTAGAGTCAACAGAATTTAGGAGGCTGTTGAAATTGTCTGTAGAAGAGGTGATCAGAGTCTAAACTGAAATTGGGTAGGTGATGGACAAGAAGAGATAGATTTATTACATAAAGAAGAGATCTTGCAGAGCCAAGGTAGATAAGTATATTTCTAAATTCTACCATCTGGCTTTTTTTGCAGAAGTGTGAATAGGTTGGTTGCTTGCTTGCTTGCCTGCTTGGTTTAAAAAAAATTGTTTGTTTTTGACCCTTTCTTTAGGAAAGGAAAGCTTGTCCAAGTTATGGTCTGAGAATCCACATCAGGAGTTGAATTAGAGTGATAGTAGAGGATTGTGGTGAAGGCAGACAGATCTGGGTGTAAACCCTTATTCTGCTGTTTGCCAACCTTGGGAAGGTATTTGAGCTTTCTTTGCCTTAGTTTCGTTATCTGTAAAATGTAGTACTGTAATAATACCCACTTCATAGGTTGTTGTGTAGATTAAATGAGAGTGACATAAAAAGCTATTAAGATGTTGTTGGTACCTAACACTCAATAAATAACCCAGCGAATATTGGTCAGCAAAATTTCTGACACCATTTGGGGAGCTAGTTGACTTTGTCTTTTGTCCTTAATACTGTTGGTCTGACCCTGTTAGTGTAGAATCTTTTTTCTTCAAAATTTAATGTTCACTGCTATTTTTAGCATCTGGAATGTAGCCATAGCAATTTGTTGCTTGACCAACCAAATGTGGTGAAAGATACTAACTGCTAAGATGAACAGACTTTGATTAACTTGTCCAGTGCTGATGGCTTTTGACATGGAGTCTGATTGCCGTGTGCCCCTCCACAGTCACATACACTGATGTAAACAAAGGCATTTTTCAAGTAAGTCACTATGGGAACGAGACAGAAGTTTGAGGGATGGTGGCTGTCTCCTAGGAATTTGCAAGTAAGTTTAGGAGAAAAGACAATAAAAGAATGAGAGTAGCTCCCGCACAGCAATACATGGAGACTAGCAGACTAGCAGTAGATGGGTGGCTCAGGCAATGAGCGCTGTAGGGGGCCAGAGGGAGGGAGCCCTTGTGCCAGCGTGACCCAAAGCTTCCCAGAGGCAAAAGGGGTCCCGTGGTGATTCCCATCCAGGTGGTTGTGGAAGATCCTCCTCCTTCCGCTCAGGAAAAGTGGAGGGTCTGAGGAAAGAGAGAAGGATCTGAAAATGGTCTGATCAATGTACACAGTGTTAAAATTGACTTCAAAAATCTATGTCTGAATTGAGAGAGAAAAATAATGACTTTTTGTATTTGTTATTACCTACAGTAAACATGAAAATAACAAAATGTAAGTCATTATTTTTCCCTCTGCAGGGAAACCAATGTGCATGGACTTATACACGTGATATAGATTGGTTAATTGGTGTGGGGGGAGGGTGAATGCCATGGTGCAGGATGAAGGACAGCTGGTGTCGAGGATTCCCAGTGGGCCTTCGGAAGCCTGGGCCTCCAGTGTGGCTGGATAGTCATTCCAGGGAGTTTTGTCTGCAGTTGTCAGGACAGGTGGCTGAGAGCTATGCCAGGATTAGAGTAGAACAGGCCACACCTGCTTAACATAGATATCTGATGACTGGCCCTGGGCTGTGAGTTTTTGCTGGTTCTGTGCTAAGCAGTCTCTCCCTGTAGGCCCCAATCCAGCCTCACAGCTGGCAACTAAATCCTCTGCATCTGTTTATTTTGGAAGATACAAGCTATGTGGCCACCCTATACCGGAACAGGTCTGATTGGCCACTTGGGTGAGTGTATGGAAGGAGTGGGGAGGAAATGGCCCAGCGGTGAGGTCAGTGATAGACGGGAAGAGGACAATCAAATTTTATTTATGATCATGAAATGCCTGTCCCCGACCCTTTAAACAGATGATGGCCATAAAAACAGAGTTGAACTAATTTGTTGATCAGCTTTTCCAAGGCTGTTAAATCCTTGAAATTCCAGACCCTACAGTGGTTCTCAGACTGGAGAGACTAAAGTTTAGTGTATATCAGAATCTTCAAGGGAACTTGTTCAAAGTGCAAAATTCCTGAGATTCTGATCCAAGAAGTTCTGGCTTGAGCCTGGGAGTCTGTGTTTTAATATCCCCAGGCAAATATTTCTCCCCCAACTATTTTTTAACAAGTAAGAAATATATTTTACACTGCTATCCTGGGTGTGTATCTGAAACAAAAGTTTTACAAAATTATATTTCCCCCCTTACTAAGATATTTTCTATTCTGTTCTAGTCCATTCTTTAAATAAAAAAAAATGCTAGTCAAACTCACTAAATTGACTTCATGGCCCATTAATGAGCCTCAGCCTACAGTTCCTAAATCTCAGCTCTGGAAGAGCCTTTTTGAGATCCTCCCAGTCATCTTTCTTTGTTGCATAGCTTCCTTTCATTCATTCAACAAATGTTTATCAAGCACCATGCAAGGGATTTGTTCTAGCACTGAACAGGCAAAAGACCCTGCGCTCAGAGTTTATACACTGTACCTTATTCCCCAAATCCCAATTCCCATTGTTTCTTTGTTACTCCTCCCACATCCCAGACTTGAGCAAGTCTTTCATAGAAATAAAGGGTTGTGGGGCTGAGGGGTACATTGGGGGTACCCCTGTTTAGTTTTGCTTTTTCACCTGGCCAAAAACACAAAAATACCCAAGGCTAGCATGGTCTCGTATTTTCTCTTTATGATTTGTGGGAAGAAGCAGAATTCATCTGGAATGGCAGAATCTGTTTGTAGTTCCCCAGAAAGGAGGCATGGGGTGTTGCCACTTAACACAAATCAGCAAAAGCAATTGTGAGCTGAGCACCTCCCTTTAAAAACAAACAAACAAAAAAGCCCAGTAAGTGTGAGTACCAGGGCCGGCTTCTCCTGCAAGCTTAATTTGATTATCTGCGCTTAAAGAGAGGAACAATTTTAAAAGTCAAAATTTTGGTTATGATTAGGATTATTTTGGATTTCCAACTTGAATCTGAACATAGGCAATGTCTTAAGAAATAAATATGTCAAGCAAGATTAGTCACCTATACTGAAAGATAATGCATAGAAAACCTTCCAACAAGCCCCTCTTCCCAGAGGAGTGTGGAAAGCGTGGAAGGTGATGAGATTACAGAAGTGTGAAGGTGGGTTTGCACCTGAGGAATAATTGGAAATAGTGGCAGGTGAAGCAGGTTTGCGGATCTGGCCAGTTTGTGCCCTTTCCTGACCCTGAAGTATATTTAACTACTGTCCATTTCTTTGAAGACTGGAGGCCTTGGGTTTAATAACTATTTCCCTTAACATGGGGCTGTGTGTAGCCTTGGTCGGTTTAGCAGAGGCAAGTGGAGAAAAGATCTCCGGATTTTCCCTTCTGCGGCAGTGTAGTCAAGAATCCAGGAAACAGATGGCTGATGTTTTCAGAATTAAATAAGGCAAGTAAAATTAGATTAAGCATATCATAGCTTGCATGCCAATTACTAGAGCAACTATTGAAGACAAACTCCTGCCCAATCTGCTAGGACAACAGCCCACCTAAG